TCTTTATTCCATAGGTCCTCATGGTTGTATGGCAGCGAAGCATCAGTTCAAATGGCTGATGTACTGCTGTTGATGATGATGATGATGATGACGTCGATAGCGTGAGCGTTGTCTACTGCCTCAGCCAAACTTTCACGGGCTACAAGTAAATTTGTCAGACATGAAAATCCCTTACGGAATCCGTGCTGTGCCGTATTGAGGTTAAACTTAATCAGGTGATTCTCCACCGAGTCCCTGACCAATTTATCAAACAACTTAAGTACTACGCTTGTCAAGCTGACAGGCCGGTAATTCGCGGGCAGAGCTCTGTCACCGCCCTTAAAAATCAGACAGATGATTGCCTCCTTCTGTTCCGAAGGTAAGGCACAGCTGTCGAGCGATACTGTAAACACACATGTAAAAAGACCACTTAGCTCAGCGGCCAATTCACGCATGAGCTTCGGATGAATTGAATCAGGGCCAGAAGCTTTGGAAGCATTTAGCCCTTGCAATAGCCTGAAAACTTGTGCTTCTGTTATGCTGATTTCAGTTAGGCAAGAATCCTCCGGGACTTTTGTGACCAGCTCAACCTGAGGTAGAGGCCTCACGAGAAGACACTAGTATACTGTTCGCTTAGTATACAAGCATTATCATAGTCGATGTGCCCATGAGTCTCGTCCGCTAGTAGTAAAGCCGGTAGAGACGAGTTTGTACCGCTGCATCTCTTTATCTAAGCAAAGAACATTGGATTTGTTACGGCTGTGTTAGCAAATCCTCCTCGCACTGAAGACGAAGAGTTCTAAGATGTTGCTTACATCTATCCGCTTACATTCTAACCGATCGATAGCTTCCGTAGGTGCTGATGGATGAAGCCGATTGGTAAGTTCGCCAGTACCTAGCGCGCTTCCTGAGCAGGTATTTACCTGCATGACCTACCCAAGGAGGCTGTGCCCGTGTCACCTGTCTCTTAATGAGTGGGATGTGGGGAGCAGAGAACTCGGTGAGGTATGCATTAAATTTCCCCCAGGCTGTTTCAACAGTGTCAGCCACGGAGATCGCACAACGCAGAACTGAAGTTTTGTCTCATTGCGTTAGTCTGCCCGCCAAATATGTGGACATGCCTCAGCGGTAGCTTGATAACAGTTAAAGCACATCGAAAGGATATGCAAACATGATCACTGGCTCCTAGAGGACAGCAGTACGTAATATCACTTACGAAATCGTGTGACTTCGCAAAAATAAGATCCAAGGTAGACGGAAGTTGGTTGCTCACATATCTAGTCGGGAGGTCCACGAACTGATACAAAGTGAGTTGTAACGTTAGCTCGAGGAGATCCGAACCGAAAGTGCCCATCGCCGAACTTCAAGATAGATCAACCCAGCAGACTTCACGGAGGTTGAAGTCACCCCGTATTAGACACCTATTGGCAGCCTGAGTATGAATAAATACGATAACCTCCTTGGAGATACTTCCAGGACTTCGATATACCACTACAAGTGTAAACTGAGCAGAGGAAGTGCACACAACAGTCGACAGGGCTTCAAGAGTTTGATCCGGCGACTGGAAAACACAGGTCAGCAACACGCCTACAACTCACATAAAGAGCGACGCTCCACCTTGGAGGGGCAAAGGAGCGTAGCCGGGTAAACATACTTCACAGTCTGTGATATCCGGGGACAATTACGTTTCGGTGATAGCAATTATGTCGGGGCGAGACTTGTCTACAAGTAGACCCACCTCGTGTACCTTCAATCAATCAACAACAGCAGTACATCAGACATTTGAACTGATGCTTCGGTGCCATACAACCATGAGGACCTATGAAATAAATAATAAGAAGAGGGAGAGAAGGGGGACTTACCTCGTGTACCTTGTTGCTTAGGCTACGCACATTACTAAGCACTACCCGAAGGAAGTCGGCATGACCAGCCCTGGGTCGCACGCTATCAGGAGGGGCTCTGGTAGGGCAGAATTGGACGTTCGGCTGAACACCTGAAAACCCACAAGACGAAGGTCATGCCCACCAGCTCTCGAAGCTTTTGATGGCTTCCTTTAACTTCAGTCGATCTACCAGTGTGAGGTCCGGCTGTACGATGACATTACGACCCTTGAGTTTGAATGCAAAACTCTAGGAAGCATTCCTCGACGCGTAGTATCGACCAGCCTACCATATGGCCTGATGATGATGGGCGGGCTACAGAAACTTTCCATCTCCTTTTGCAGTACATACTGCACCACCACGGTGGTGATCAGAGCCGGTGTTACACCCAAAAGTAGCCACAAATACTATTGAAGTTCAGTAACGCTCCTTGTTTCTGACAGATTATACACTGGTAAAACGCGTCCGTTGAACAAGCTTTTCCTGTCAAGAGTCATTATTGGTTCATCGGGCAGCAGAGAGCAGGAGGGAAATCCCTTGTCAGCTCCATCGCTTCCCGATCATTGCTGGGATGCTCGTCATTGCTCAACGGAAACTCCGGAGAGGCCATCGCACTCATAGCTGAAGCAACACGTTCCTGGTATATTCAACAGGTTTGAATCAAGTAGTCGTTTGAAGCATTCCTCCGTCTGTGCATCAACGACGAGCAGCGGTAACCGGTTCCAATTAGTCACAACGTCAGTGGATGGAGCAAGAATGGGCCGTACTTTGAGCCTCCGTGGTTTGAATATTTTCCATCGGTGGCTTCTAGTCAAACTCCCAATGTAGATGTGGAAGAATTCCTGAAACTCTCTCCCTAGATCTCCCCTGAGTATACGACGGGTAAAAATCAAGTCCCCAGGCCGGCGACGGCAATCCATAAAAAGCATATTCAAATGTCGAAGCCGAAGGGGATACGGCAAGTCACGTAACTCGGAGACAAACTTCGATCCACGCCGTTGGACCTTTTCGATCATGTCGCGCTCAAATTTGGAAAGCAGGTAGGCAGCAGGGAGGCTGTATTCCAGAATCGGGCGCATTTGCGAGGTGAACAGAAGTCTAAAAAGTTCTGGTGTCAAGCGACAGAAAGCTTTTCGGATGGCGTGAAACATCCTGTAGGCAGCGGCAAACCTCTTCATGGTGTCCTGAGTGGATTTGCGGAAACAATCACGCCCAGATCTCTCTCTGAAGTGACATTTTTGAGCAAAAACTACCTGTGTGGCAAGCGCTAAATTGTTCAGGAGAGCCGATAGGCAGGACGGAACATTTGTCTTGATTAATGGGTAAGCGCCACTGAATCGACCAACCGTGCAGGAGATCGAGCGTCACTTGTAGTTGATCAGCAATCTCCTTCCATATCTAGATCATCCGCATAAATCAAGCAATTCGATTGAAGCTCAGACGGTAGATCGTTGATAAAGATGTTGAAGAGTTCGAGGACGAGGACCGAACCCTGTGGGACACCGCTGGTCATACGTACAGGATCGGAATACCTTTCGTTCACTCTTACCAGCATAGAACAACTGTGCAGGAAATCGGAAATCCACAAGAGAAAGTTTCCAGTGACACCGATTCCTCGGAGTTTGTAGAGAAACTGTTCATACGGGACCTTATCAAAAGCTTTACTGAAATTCACGAACACAACATCCAGGCATTTGCCAACATCCAATGAATTTGCCCATTTTTCTCTAGCCATAAGCAAGTTGGTAGAGCAGGAGCCAGCTTTGCGAAAATCATGCTGGCACCGGATATTAGATCTAACCGCTCGAGATGAAGCCGAAGCGCCCGTTTCAGGACCCGTTCCATGATTTTGCACACTATCGATGTAAGGTAAATGGGCCGGTAGTTGGCTGAATCTTGCAGGTTCCCTCCTTTGTATATGGGTTTGATAATGCCCATCTTCCAAGCGGTCGGGAGACGTCCGGACTGAAACGATCGATGGAAGACCTGCGTGATAGGTGAAGCAATGTACTGGGCCAGTCTTGGGGAACAAGGGGTGCAAGTCGTCAGGACCAGGTGAGTAAGGATCCAACTCACAGAGAAGTTTCAACACGTCAGTGTATATATCGACGTGCTCTAACATAGGAGGGGGAGTGCACACTGGTCTGCCAGAGAACGAGGCTGATGTTGAGTACACCGAAGAGTATTGCCGCGCCAGGAGGCTGGCTCGCGAACTGGATCTCCATGCTCGGAAGAACACAGGGCAGGGATACCACTGCCCGCTCTAGTGCTCCGTTTGAGGTAGGAGAAAAGCGTCTTAGGAGTCTTTCTAGAAAGTGTGGCTAGGGAGAGTTCACATCATTGACGTTTCTCACGTTTATCCAGGGCACAGGTATTCCAAACCGTTTTGTAACCGATGTAGTCATGCTCTGATCGTGTGATCCTAAAGCGGTCCCACAACTTACGTCTTCTGTTCATTAAGGATCTCAATTCACGATCGATCCACGAAGAGCAGTCGGTTTGGGATATGGGGACTTGTTCAATGAGTGATGTCAGCTTGGAGTACAAAAGATTCCAGGCACCGTGCACATTGAGATGTTCGGGTATACACCAATCCATAATACCTGCAGCCGTTTTAAGAGGAAGGGCATCAACAAAGCAGAAACCTCGGCGGACGGCACATAGGTTGGGAATGGTAAAGCGACGAGTCCATTGGAATAAAATAGTACAATGATCGCTTTTGCCAATGGGTTAGAAGGCTGTTAAGTCTGACTATGCTGAGGAGAGCACAAGATCCAGGATAGGAGGCGACTGGAAGGCGAGAACACGAGTCAGCGTGGAGGAATGTTGATACAGGCTGCAGTCGAGAACGGTATCAAAGAGAGCGGCAACAAAGGAATCAGGTGGACGATTAAAAAAAGAAAGAGGTACCAGTGGATATTAAGAGCACTGAAATCTCTTAGAATAAGACAATTTTTCCAGCACCGTGATGATTGATCATTTCCAACAGGCGAGCTATCGCGTCCAGATGACTCCAATCAAGCAAGGTAGATTTCTTTCCGAGAGAAGCAAAATATACCATGCAGACTAAATGTGAAAACCATAATAAGGCGATTTCTGCTAAAGAACAAAACGTAGCGAGCTAAACCATATTAAACGTACAGACAAAGTTGCTGCACACGGCAGCTACGTCCGCAGTGAAGTGATCATCAACAATCTTCGAGGCATCGTCGTCGCCTGAACCGTTAAAAAAGCAATGATATACCTTTAACAAATACGAGTAGCTTTTTGCAATGCTCCCGAACGCTTCGAACTGCATCTGAAGTAGATCCACTAAACCAGTTCATTAGATCAAGGACAAGAACAACAGCTATGGCGATAATTGTAGACAAGGTCAGACTAGTGACGTGTCGAGTAGTGGTAGGTAGTGTTCTACCAGTCCGTATTAAGTGAACCCTAAAAGGTTGTTTTCCCTTAACATATATTAACAGGAACAGCTTTGTGACATCCGGGATGCAAATGTTTGCTATAAAACTACGTAACAACCGTGACCAGTAGTGAAATGGAAAACCGTGTGCATTCAGGATGACGAAGCTATCCGATTGGCTGCGTTCCGGTGTTCGGAATTTCGTGAAGAAAATGGCTTTTTAGACCGCTTTTCCTGCTAGTCGGTATGTGAATAAACTAACGTGATAGTAACTATTGGTAACCGTTGGCACCAAAATGACATTCTTTTAACGCAATAATTTGAGAGAGAAGATGCCAAATGAGAAGTACTATGAATTATTAGCTGGAAGGTAAAGGATATGCGACTTTTTTCTTCATCAAAAACGGAGAAATAAGCCACCATTTCTCTGGCAGTTGAATGTAGCTTCTCGACTCTTAAAAGACATTGAATACAGTGAATTACAGAAAGCGGGTGGGTGAACCATTATCAGCTTCGTCGCATCCCAAATGAACTGTGGAATGTGCGTGTTCGCGAGAAATGCTTTCACGATATTGGCGCACAGTTGCACGAACAAAAGCACTATCCTGATACACTAAGCAGGTGGATATCGAAAAGTCTTTTGAAACAATCCTCAGTGGGAGCGCCCCTGGTAGCACATGTCCAGGTCCTGGTCAGTTTAGCATGCTAAACGTTCCTATGAGAGCAATAGGCTAAACTGGACAGGAAGTAATACCGTGAGACGGCTAAAAAGGGTTCCTGTCCAGTTTACGTTGGACCAATGAAGATGATGCTAGCGCTGACCAATAGAAATTCACCACTATGCGTGACAATCCGGTTGGTCCAGATCCCGTCATTGCCTCCCATGGGTCTCCGGATACGGACACCACATTTGAACGCACTATGTGCCTAACGAATATATGGACGGCTCGGACCCAGTGTTCACCCGGTACCTGTTTTTGTAGTTTCTGGACTTGGGAACCCACCTAGGCGGCGACTCAAAGCAGTTGGTCAGAAAAGGAAACCGCGCTTACCGCGCACCTGACATCACAAGGCGAAAGAAAATTAAAACTGAGGTATAGGAATGCTATATATACATGTGGGGTGCAGTACAAAGAACGTTAGTAGCAAAAAGCGGCATGGTCAATATTCTTAATCCGCTTCCGCGAGCGTCAACGTAGGAGGCTAAAGATGTGCCTAAGGAAGCAGGGGACTCACCTCATTCGCACTGCATACTTTAGTTTGCTCAACCGGCGGTCTTTTGTGCCGTGCAGAATGCAACCACGTTTTGATGTGCCGTGTAATGTCAGCATCCGAGGCTGCATCATCCATGCGTTGCCGAATGATGCATTGGTAGCTTTTATGGATTACTGCATTCCAACCTACCTTGTAAAAGGCCGTTCATATTTGTTCGCCTGAATGCAAACGAACCTCTAACGCCGGAGTAATTTATCTCCGCGGCAACTGCTCTTGTCATTAGCCGCTCCATGGTACCCCGGACAATGAGTTGCACGTTATCACCGTGCACAGCACATAAATGGTTAACCTAAAGTAGTTGAATAATAAGACGAACTTACGACTGTTTTTGAAATCTGGGTCCTTCAGCCGTTCATCATATCTCTTTAGCTCACTAAGAGAGATGAATGGCAGAGATAGTCCCGGCGCAACACTTTGGGATTGTCGTTGCAGCATTTGCAACATCGCTTCGGACATGCGGCGATGGCCGACCAATTCTGATCGAATGAGACACAACTCATCTAAAAATAAGGCTGAGTGCAATGCAATACATCTGTGACGTCTTACATTTTTTGGCCTGCAGTTCCTGCAGCACATCCAGGTTGCTTGGTGGGACATCAGCAATAACCTGTGGGGAGATTACTGCTTAATACGGGCAGTATGAAATCGATACTTACGGTTGCTTGTTGTTGGCCCTGGACGTGATGGACTAATGCCACTGAACAGAGAGGAGGGCGCACGTGCGTAGGTTGCTGCAGGCCTTTTGGGTTTGCTTGGACGTGCGGCATCCTCGTCATCGGAGCTAGAACAGACGGGCCGGCGTCTAAGGAGAAATAAAAAAACACCATACTCATATTGCACGCTTAGCTGGAAGGCCCATGGGAATTGCATCGTCTGTCGATGGCAGCAACCCGAGCTCAGATTGCCGTTCCATTTCTCGGGCATGCTGGAAGCTAACTAACGAGGTGGGATAATATAAGAGAAATACTTACTCGTGCTAACGATTATGGACACGGCAGTGCTGACCACATTGACATCCGGCGCATTGTGATTTTTCACTGCTGCATAGTAGTGCGTACCCCGCACTGAAGGTATTTGAGCGTACGAACCTTCTTCTCTTAGCCAAGTGTTACTGATAATAGTTATTAAATCCTCGGAGTCAAGGAGTTTGACAACGCTGTATCCTTGAAAAGCCATCATTGCCTAAAAAGAAAGACGTTAGTAGTTAAAGTGTATAACTGTGTGGCAAAGGGTAAATTACAAGAAAATCGTTCAAGGGTAAAGCAATGCACTTAAATAGAATATGACAAGCAGAGAAGGTACATACCTCAGTTGACAACTGCGATGCACGGAAGATTTACGCCGTAGAGGAATCCATGCTATGCGTGAACAGACTACGGAGATTCATAAATTCCCGGCATTGCACGACAATGTTCCCGGACACATTCACAGACACCACTGTCAGTACTCTGGGTTTGGCATCGATGATGACCACGTTATCCGGCTTCATCGTGGAAAACAAAATGCCGTGCAAACAAAACGCCTTCTGACCCTTTTATGTGCACATCTCTACATTCCCAACCGTGCTTGCGTTGCTGGAAGTAGGAGGAAGCTGTTTTTCTTCCGACGTACGCCGCATGATTTGAGCAATCGGACGCGGGGAATTGTGAATCATGCGTTTGATGGAAAACAAGTGAGACTCGAAGGGAAATGCTGAGAAGCTGTCTAGAGTCTCCATCTTTCGTACGTCAGCGGTCAGTTGAACCAGTGAGTGTACGTTCCACGTCATTTCACTGGGACCATAAAGATCAAAGTAATCATGTAAAAATAGATGAATTAAAGGACCAAGGAAATCAAATAAGGCAGTGTGAATGTGAGGGTGGTACATGATATAAATAGCAAATGAGAGATCTAGAAAGTTTTGATAGAAAGCATCAGGCAATACCCCAATTAAACAAGCTGGTATGGCGTAGAGCAAAAACTGACGCAACTCAGTTGCCTTCCAAGATCGGTATTCATCCAGTGATCGAAGTTTACGTGGAAAGTCCGATGTCCAGGAAGGCCCGAACTCATGCAACCGTTCGTTTGCTAAAATCAATCGCTCTCTGCGCAGTCGAAATCCACTGTCCACGGGCGAAGTGAGCCAGTTTTTTATCATTCTGCGCATAACACCTAAACATACTGAATGCATATAGTCAATTGGGAAGTCCTCAAGTAAATCGACATTCAAAGCAGCAAAAGGCGACGGTTGGCTATCATTCCTTCGAACGGATGCATTAGTCCGTAGTGTGCTATCAGTAAGTGGGTATGTTACCTTGCGGCTCATATACTCACCACGTTGGATGCATTTGTCACAGCTGTAATAACCCGAATGTTCTTTTTTTTCTTTTCACATACGCGCGTGCAGGGGTATCACAGATAACGGCTTTAAGCTTGAATAATCCTTGGCGTTGCAAAGTACGTATCTCATTAATTGCGTTGTACAAGTAATCGTCCACGTCCTTCGTCTTCGAGGTCCCACCATAAACACCAACAATGAATGGCTTCGTGATCACTGGCTTTACGACACGGCACAAGATTGGCCATACATGCATCTTGGCTGCATTAAAAGGTTTAAACCCGTAAATATGCAACTGATGGTCAACGGTTTCATCAGCGGCGAGCGAAAAAGCAGAGCTTGCATGCTGTATACCTCTCAGCAGACCTACGTGACCGTAAGTTCCCGGTGAAACAACGCGAACGCGGGAGGTCCATGGGGTGCGCATAAGCGTCCGGTAATCCTTTGGCAAAAATGGCATCCACGGCTGCACAAGGCACAACAGTGGACGAACAAAAGAAGCTGGTACTTGAGATTTTTTGATCAATTTTCTCAAGTTATGTACCAATTCATCGGGGTCCCTGTCATCTTCACTGCGGTTGATAACGTGTGCAGGTGGCTGAACTGTGTAAGTAATCATATGTAAGATATGTTAAAGATGCTCTTACCCTTCTGTCGTTTAGCTTCTGACAACAGAAGCAACTCTTCGTAGCTGAACCCTGATGTCATTCTTTTCGCTGCACGGTGAATGGTGCTACGAGACGGAAACTGTGCAGTTAATTGATGACTTCGTCGACGTGACATGCTTAAAAGGAACACCTACGTATAAAACAATTTGTAACAGAAAAACCTGATAGGTACACCTGCGGAAACGCAGTTTCAAGGAAGCTGGAAAATAGCGCAGAACGAAGCAGTATCAGCGATCAAGGTTTCGAAACCGAAACTGCCCAAATAAAAAGACCGGCAGATGCATTTAAACCACTGGGGTTATGGTCCAATAATAGCAAATATAACGCATAGCAACTATTAATTTATTAACAAATGTCAAACTAAATGCATTTAGCTGCAAGTAATGCATTAATACCTGAAGTTGACATTTGTCCAGTTTATGTCCATTTTGCTACGTTTAGTGTTACGTTTGTGCTACCAGGGGCTGACCGCACATTTTTAAAGTGTTCCAATCGTTCACTACCCATGTACGTAAGGTGACCTCTAGGTGAACTCGATGGCACCTCAGTTTAAAGTGTTCCCAACTGTGTACAGGAGTTGAGATACTTTGGTTGAGCTGGAAGTACTGTTGGATATCGCTACCCAGCTCACCTCTCAAAATGCGTCTTGCACTGCTTAGGTCTCCATGAGAGCGGCGGTGGTCTAGGGAGAACAAAGTCATACATGTGAAGCGATCGTAGTAGGACAAATTCCACTGAGTTAGGACCGATTTGAAACCTCGAATTTGAAGTTACCCAAGCAGCCAA